TTATGGTTCAACAATTACAAATAATGGATTTTGGAAAGAATTTTATAAATATGATAAAAACAATGTATAGCAACCAGACAGCAAAAGTGATATATATTTAAAAATTCCAGGGTGGTTATCAACGATGGAGGCATTTATACATCCGAACTTGGTAGACTTTGAAAAATATGGACATATAAAGATATTCTAGATATTGATGGGAAATTAAAATCTAAACAAGAACTGGAAAATCAGGGAATTAACTTGTCCTGGTGGGCACATTTACAGATACAAAGTAGATATGAAAAAGATGTAAAAATGTATGGATTTTATAAAGCTCAAACTGTGCTTGATAAGATTTTGTTAACCTCAGATGAGAAATTAATCAAGAAAATGTATAACTTTTTGTTAATTTTGGATATGGAAAGTGAACAAGTGAAAGAAACAATGACAAGATGGGCAAAAAAAATTGGCTATAATATAGAATTAGAAAAATGGTAAATGTTATGGGAGAGAAATTACAAATTAACAATGTCAACCTCATACAAAGAAAATCTGTATAAAATGTTTTATAGATGGCACCTGCCACCAACAAGATTAGCAAAAATGTTTAAAAATATGTCAGATAGATGTTGGAAATGTAAACATAACATAGGCACGTATTATCACATTTGGTGGACATGTGGTAAGGCAAAGGCCTATTGGAGAAAGATACATATGTGGTTAGAAAAAATATTGGGTGAACAAGTAGATTTTAAACCTGAACTTTTTTTACTAGGTATTATGCCTGAAAAGACTAATAAGCAGAAATTATATTTAATCTTACACATTACTACAGCAGCGAGAATAATTTTTGCACAATACTGAAAGAATAAAGGATTGCCATCAGAAGAAGAAATAATCAGGAAAATATTGGAATGTGCAGAGATGGACAGATTAACTATGAGGTTGAAAGATAAAGAAGATACAGACTACTATCAAATTTGGAACCTATTTTGTTCTTGGCTAGAGGAAAGAATGTAGGATTAGGAATTGAACTTGTATTAGCATAGCAAACTCCAGACAACTTGTTGATTGGAAAAATTAACATATGTTGATGAAAAAAACCCAATAAAATCTTTACTAAAAAAAACCAAAAACACTGGGCTTCCCACTCCCGCAACAGAATGGCAGGTCCCAAAAACGGAAGGACAGAAGAAAGGTAAGTAAAATAGGGAACTGTTTGGGACCTGACCACCTTACTTTTTTTTATAACAAGTTTTATTAATTTTTTCATTTTTTACAACAGAGTGCTTAGGAAACAACGTGGAGATGGGGTAATCAATTATCCAAAGTTAAAATCATACATATACAAGTCAGGTTAACTCCTTAAAGATTCCCTCTCTATTTCCCTCCATTAATATAACATATTCAAATTAATACATTTCTGAATAAAATTCAATCAATCCATAAAATTTATCAATAACATTTTACCTATACAAGTCCAAGTCCTGTTTTTAAGCTTTACTAAATTCCAATTACCATATTCCAATTTAGCCTTAATTAAACGTATTGTTTACACTTTGGGTATCCCTAATTTCCCTCATTTCATAACATAATAATTATAATATCTAAAATAAACAACTTATTCCAACAGTTACCTTCTACATTTCCAAAATATATTCTAATTCTTATTCTCATGTCTTCATTTACTAATAACGTATCTTCCATTGTCACAATCCATTTCCTTGTTTTCATTCCATTACAAAATGGTTATCATATCTAGAATAAATATATTATCCCCCCCAAAATACCTTCTTACACTATTTCACACATATATTTTATTTCTTGTCTTAATAGCTCCTCATTTAAAACCTTTTTCATTTCACAATTCCAAACTATAATCTAACCAATAATTTCATCTCAATTATAAATCTAAATCCTAAACATTAAATCAGTCCAAAAACCTTTACTTTTCATCTCAGTTAGTATTAATTCAGTCCATATCTCTAAAAAAAAACCTTTTTTACCCATCAAGTAAAGATTTAAATCCCATTTTTAAATCTAACTCTGGCTTTCTTTTTGTGCCAGCCAGGCTTCCATAAGAGAGCCTCTATATCAACAAATCTCAATGTTTTGTTAGACATGTTTATCATCAATTCAATCTGGTCGTATTCCTGTTCTCCTTCATCACTATCATCTGAATAGCGTAATCCATTTTATCCAGTGTTGTAGTTAGTTGATTGTTCAAATTATCATAGTTCTGATACTCAGTAGACTGTACATAGGATTGTGTAAAATCCTCTTTGATGGTGATAGATTCCTCTTCTGTTATTTTTTGACTTATAGAATAGTCAGTTGGAGTCTGGAAATCAGTTTGAAATTTTGGGGCAAGGGCTTTTTCATAGTTAAGTTGTGAATAAGATTCTTCCATCTCATTATGTTGCACATAATGTTGGGCATAGGCCTTTGATGTTGATCTATTCCTCAGTTTATAGTTCTGGAAAATCATCTTTAGTTTTCATCATAGAGTGAATTTGCTCAGTAACTTCCAAGATTTTTTCCAATATGAGATTGTAGTCAAGCTGTGGGTAAGTTCCCTCCATTTCCATAGTGAAATAATCCTCTAGTCTTTTAATGGAGGCTATGTTTAATAACAATCAGCCCATATCCACCTCCACACAGCTGTTTCAAATTCTTTATCTTTTCCCTTTTTTGATAATTTGAAGGTCAAACTCAGCCTCAAAATAAAAAAGAAAGTACAATTGTAATGTCAAACTTTGCCACAAGATGTCCCCAGTAGACATTATATCTTTTTCCAGTTACCTAAGGTTTTACCAATTAAAAGAGTAAAAAAAGTAAAAAAACCAATATTGTCCAGTTTAATAGGTTCGTAAAAGGGACGTTGTCTTACCTGAACGCCTTTTCTCAGCATAACGATGTAGAATCCACTGGTGGGTAATCTCAGTCTTCCTGCTCAGTTGAGACTAAGTCAGAAATATGCCACGCCTCCTTCTGGGCTGGACCACTCCAGTTTTTGACCAAGGCAAAGCAAAACATGACAAAGTCCTATGCGTTGGCTCCTCCTACTCTGACACAGGCCCAGACAGCCTTTAAGGGTGGGTGTGGATTCTACATCATCATTAACCTAATCTAGTGTTCAGATTCCTTGCCTACTCTAGAGGAATGGTTTCTTATTTATCAGAAATGGCAAAAATTTCGGCTTATCTGAAAGACCGTTCACAAGAGAGATATAATTCTGTGTGGAAAAGATGGGTAAATTTTGTACAGAATAAATATGGGATTAGAAAGTATTATTTAGCTTTTGAATAATTTATAGCTTAATGTGGCTATGGTTGGATTTGTTGTTTTTAATATACTGGAGTTAAAGTACTTTTAATTTTTTGGGATGTATGTATGGTTGATTGATGTTCATTTAATTTGTATGGGTTTTTTTGGTTTTTTTAACCCTGAATTCAGCTCTGGGAAGGAGGGGGGAGGGTTATGGGGGGTGGGAGGGGGGGATGTATTTTATTTTAAAAAGTTTATAAAATTTTCAATAAAAAAAAAGTAGGGAAATAATAATTCCAAGGGCTTTTCACAGGGAGATAGTTAGGGTAAAGAGAGGAAAGGTCTCACCCGGATCTTCCACGGTGGTTCTTTAATGCTTAGATGTTATTCTGACTTCGGCTGGTGCAGCTGAGTGATCGGCCATGTTAATGGCTGATCTTTTCTCCGTCGGCCCAAAGGAGCTGCCTCAGACAGCAGAAGGTGCTGCCACACTCTCTGCAGTCGACGAGAGTCCTCCTCAGTGGTGGTTGACCCTGTCCAGGGTCTACTGGCGGAGAGAAACCGGCCGGCGAAGAGAGAAGACTCTCCACACGACTACCAGCACCGCAAACCGGAACCGGAAGTCTGACCACCTTACTTTTCACCACTCTTGGGGCCCAGTGTTCAAGTCTGTCAAGATTCTTGTCTTAAGTGTATCTTCTAAAGTGTTGACTATTCCCCCAGCTTGGTGTCATCTGCAAATTTGATGAGTTCTCCTTCTAGCTCATCTAAATCATTTATGAAGATGTTGAAGAATACTGGGCTTTAGACAGAACCTTGAGCTACCCCGCTGCATATTTCCCTCCATTTAGATATAGCTCTATTAAGGACTACCCGCTGGGTGCAGTTAGTCAGCCAGTTGTGAATCCATCTGCTCTGTTGATGCTATCTGTCCCACATTTTTCTATCTTACCAAGAAGTAGGCTGTGATCTACTTGTCAAATGTCTTACTGAAGTTGAAGTAAACAATTTGCATAGCATTTCCCTTATCCATTAAGTCACTTTGTAAAAGAAGGCAATTGGGTTTGTTTGGCAATTTCTGTTTTTGACGAACCCATGCTAGATTCTAGCAATAGCTTTGCTTGTTTCTAGATGTTCACAGATGTTGCTTGTCTTTTCCAGGACCTTTTCCAGTATTGATGTAATGCTGGTTGGTCTATAGTTTTCTGGATCTTTTATAGTCCCCCGGTAGTGCCTCAGTGCTCCAGGAATTTCGAAAAATATGATTCAGTGATTCTGAGATCACATTTGCCAGCTCCCTCAGAACTCTGGGGTATAATCCATCTAGTCCTGGTATTTAAATTCATCTAGAGTTGATAGGTGTTTTCTTACCATTTGCTTATTTTGACTTGTATTTCTATTCTGTCTTTTATGGTACTGCTTTTGATAGGCTGAAATATTTTTTCCTTTTGTGTAAAGACAAAAGAATAAATTAAGCAATTCCACTTTCTCACTCTGTTACATACTTGCCATCATCTCTCATTAGTGAAGCGATCTTTTTCTTGTTTTTATATACATATCATACATTAAATAGTTAAACATAAGAATTTCAATTTACTAAATCTAACTTTCAGTGTACATTAGTCAGTGGTATTCTGGAACTGGGAGGAAGGGAGGGAGGACGGAAGGAAGGCAGGAAGGAAGGATCATAAAATGTTATTTCTGATTTTCAAAGTACTTGGAATTAACTTCTCATAATTTTGAAACTTTAGACTCAAGATTTGGTGTACAGCTTGCAAGCTGAATTGGAGAAACTAAGATGTGATAGGAAAGACTCTGCTTATATAAAAAAGGAAATTCTCCAACTTCAGGTAAAACTTCTAAATCTATATAATTACTAGGCAGATATGCAAGAATTTATCCCCATATTCAAGTGTTTTGGAAATATTTAGCTTCTTTTTGTCCCATGAATAAAATCTAGTTTTATCATCCATTGTAGGAGACATTGGATAATGAAAAGAAGTTAACAAAGGATTTGGGATGTGCAATCACCAAACTAAAAGAGCTTTTGAAGGTCACCCAAGAACAGCTGTCCAAGGAAAGAGAAGCAGTGATGAAATTACAAGAACAGCTTCAAAACAGGGTACTTGAATGTTTTCTTTTTTATTATACCAAAGTTCATTTACCCACATTAAGATGGCCTGAATGGTGGAGTTTATACCATCAGTGGTTTTCTTTGTAAAGTAGAGGGAATAAAGAACTGTAATTGATCGATAGTCTATGGTCTGTTTTTCTTCTTACATCCTTAACATTTTGTGTAATGATAATGGGATGAAGATGTATTATAAAAATACTGAGAAATAAAATTATATTTGAATCCTTTACTTCTGTAATCTTAACTTAAATCTGGTTCAATCCCCTTGAAGCAGGGTTTAAGCATAATTCAAGAGGGATCTAATCAAATTTATAATACGTACCCTTTCTCTAGCTACCATTCTATATGAACACTTTCATAAACTATCAAAGGAAAAACAATTTTAATTGTAAAATTAGTTACATATGTGTACATGGGCATGTAATTTGTGCAGTTGTGAGGACCTTTCAACACTCCCCAAAGTTGGCATCTAACATTTATGCTGAGCCAATTATTTATGTTTAACATCAACAGCTACAGAATTAAAATAATTTAATATAAATAGTTCTGATTAGGCACACACAGTAAAATAATGAAGTAATACAAATGACCCAACTGAAATGAGACTAGACATGTCTTGGGGAGATTAATAGTAACTAAAAATAAGTCCCCCTTTTCCTCCAACTTGTAGAACTTTTTCTTCTCTCTCTCCCTTTCTGTTTATGAAAGGAATAAAGAAATATTCCAGCCCTTTTACCTCCAGCCCAGATGATTTTGTGTGATAAATGCAATTATGCCTTGACTGACCTCTAAGAGACCCGGCCTCAGTGATGCTCCAAAAATGCTTTCTTCTTGTCCAAGCCTATTACAATTGTCTCAAAGATAACAGAGGTAGTTTTATAGTAGCCTCAACATTTCTTCCTCATAATGGAGTTGCAACCTGTATCGGGCTCTTGGATTCTCTCCCCTGCTTCCAGGTTTAAGACTTTTTAAAAAACCATTTTCCTGTAATTCTTAGAAAAGAATTCTGAGACTGTCTATCCAGTAACCTAATTTTCATTCTGTTTCAGGAAGAAAATGAAGGCATTGCCAAAGAAGGTACATCTGTTTGACAGATCAAGAATCTAGGATGTGCACTTTATCAGACTTAAATGTTTTTATATATTTCTAAAGTACACACTTATTTACTGTAAAGAGAAATAAATAAGACAATAGCGACCAGAAACTATTTTCAAAAGAAATAAAAAGTCTATAAATATAGCGTTTCTGTTATGAAAATTTTTCTTTTGTAAAATATGCTTGTTTCCTTCTCTTTCTGAAGGGAGATTATCTGCATTAAAATATTTCTTAATATCCGGAGAGAAAGAATCCTTAGACTGAACATCCTGATTTCTTCATTTGTGTAAGGGTTCACCCATGGATAAACCAGCTCCGCATAGCAAACTCTTCTATTTCTGGGAAGAACCATAGTTTCTTTCTTTCTTTTCTCCTTTGCAGCTACTTTCTTTCATTTCTTGCCTTATCTACCAATTTATGCCCTTGCAACAGCACTCATTAACGTCTTTAATTCACAAATAATTATCTGAGGAGAAAAAAATGTCCTTTTTGGATAAATAAAATATGCTGTTAGTTAAATACCTACAGAGCAGTGATTATCTTCTATTACCTACTCTCATTGCACTACCTTTCATTACAAATGTGCTTCAGATAGATCTGCTTTGATGTTTTTCAGTTACATTAAATTGATCTCTTTAGAAGGGAATAATGCTGTGATTGTCACAGTTCTATAACAGAAAATTTTACAGAGACAGAATTGACTTTATCTTGGTTTATAGTCATGATTCATATACTTTATTAAGAATACTTGAAGAAGCGTCTTAAAATTGGTGCTGACTAGCAGTGAAAAACTGTGAGAATATGAGAAAATGAGAAATAGCCAGAATTGATTAGTAATGAGAAAATGACACACATAGCTGAAAAGTGTAATATACACGGATACTGCAGAGTAGCCTTTTCCAACCGGGCATTCTCCATTTGTGTTGGAATTGCCACTTCTGATATTCCCAGTGAGGATAGCCAAAACATGGGATCACATCAGGTTGGAGAAGTCTACTTCAGAGTAGGCATATTTTAAAATATTAAACTGAAAATGTTTTACTTTTATCCGAAGACATAATTTTACATAAAATTACATGTTATTTCATGAAATAGTAATTTCATCTTCATACATTAAACATATACAATATCCTTCAATCTGTAATACTGGGGAAGTACCTAGTTACTCAGCAGAGAATGTTCCTCTAGTATATTTGACATTCATTATGCTTATGGGAAAAACTGTCCAACTTTATGAAGAATGTGATGGTTGAACATAAAGTGGAATAAAATAGAATAACATAGAATAAAATGAAGAATAAAGTAGAATAACAATAATGATGAAAAAAATCATTATTCAAGTAAAATGATGTGTCTGCATAATTCCTGGAAGAAAGCTGTGTTAACAAAAGCTGTGTTAACTGATCTAATGCATATTTAGAAACATTGTATAAAGTAAAACTGCCTTAATTGTATTCCCATGAGAAATGAACCTAACATGTGAAAAACTAACTGAATGATATACAATGTAGATTCCATGTGTGCTCCCTTTGTTCCTGAGAAATGGAGAGCTATACAGATTGGAGTTTGGAACTGTCCCCCTGTTCAGAATTGCTTGTCTCTATTGCTTCTGAACCTTTGCGTAAATAAACCTCTCTGTTACACCCTTTGGAATTCGTAAAAGTCCTTTCGTTTTCCACAAGAAACAGGTTTCAAAGTATTAACCAGTTTTTATGTACATGGTTAGAGAAAGAGCTGTCCAATGTTCACATCAAACTGTTAATCAAGATGTACTGATTCACACTCTGCTAAGACAACGTACAGACATTGCTAAGTTAAAAAAGCAAATTTATTTCTACTTCCCTTGATTTCTCAGGGAGGCATCTCTGGGCACTACTGCATCAAGCCTGATGAGACCACAGCTCACAGAAGCAAAATCTACAAATTGCCGGGGCTGTGTTTAGGCTTGATTTTTTTTTAATTACTTTCAGAACAGAAATATATTTTCTGTTTTGTATTTTATTTCAGAGAAATGCACATTATCTATGCGAGCCCTGTGGTATAGTAGCTAATGTACCAACCAGCAGTTCAATCAACCTATTTCAGAACACTCTAATTTGGAAAATATCAATCATTCTTCTTTCTATCCTGAATTTTGCATTTGAAGGTATATGATTTTTATCACCTTGGACAGCATATGTTCTATGACTGAATGTGTTCTCTGGGTCCAAATGCGGCCCGTTATTTCTCCTCTTTTCTACTTCGATTCCTTAAGAGATAGGGCCCTGTAAAACATTTGATCGTACTGTATAACGCTGTTTCCAGCAGTCTGCTTGATGGCACCATGATCTCCAATCTTCATTTCATGCAAACGCTCTCTCCGTTCTTCCCTTCAACAAAAAGCACCGCATTGTGATGCAAAACACTCTCGGCAACCCAGGCAATACAGTCTGAAGAAACTCCTGGAATACTGTATTGGGCAGCTTGTCATGTTTTTGAAGAAAGGCGTCATTGCCTGCAATTTAGCTCCACTGTCTAAATTAATTTCAAGCAACGTCCCAAAGGCGTTCCGCTTTCATTTCCGCTTCGGATAAACAAAATAAAAGGAGATTATTCGTACGACTCTCGGTTTTAGGACAGCGACGGAAGTAGAACAGTGATCAATTTCCTGTGTCCGATGGACAAATCAGGACCCAGTGACGCCCCAAGAGGTGGCGCCTGCCTTCTCTTCCGTTGCGAGCTGCTCCCGGGATTCCACAGGTGGCCGGGCGTTCTGGTTAGGGAGGGCGGCTCCTCGGCTTTGGAGACGAAGTGGTTGGGGGTGGGAGGGAGGGGACGCATTCGTCTGTTTTTTATCTTTCGCTCAACTCCTGGCCATGATTCATGATATTTACAGCTGCCCAGGGCCTTATGTAATTGTAGGGTAAGCCTGGGGGAAGGGAATTATTGGGAGGAGCTGCGGGAAGGCGTTTGTGGACGAAGAAAGTAGCGATGTTCTCTCTCCCACCCCTCCCCCGGTGCTAAAAAGAGTAGTGGAAGGAATTTGGGTGTACCCGGGAAATAGCATTATCGGCGGGATCTAGGCGGATCTTTGGAAGGAGTCTGTCTTTTAAACCGCTCTGTAGTGCCCTTACTGGAACGGAGGTTTGTTTCTCCAGGAAAGCTAACTAGTATTAGAAAGCACAGGGAGCGGTAGCTTCTGTTCCTTTCACAGCGAAGAACCGGAAAACGTTTCTTCCAAGATTTGGAATCACAGTAGAAAAATAACTAAATTTTGAATTTTTCGACATATGGTAAACGCCAAGAGAAATACAAACAGGTTAAATGGATTTTCGGTCTGGCCAACAAAATCCAATGTTATGTATACTAACTAAAAGCATTAATATATATCCATTATGTGTGCACAAGATAGAGATCTTAGCAGGACCGTTATTTTGTTCTTGGAACCCATCCTTGCATCTCCAGAGTTATTCTTTGCATGTTTGGGAATCATTATTTTAGCTTGAGTATTATTTTTGTATTTCTAACATCAGTGGTTCATGTCCCACTGGATGTTATTGGATCTGAAGTGGTTGTTACTAAACCAGATATTTATTTTGTGATGCACTCTCAGATATACTGGTAGTACTACTAGGTTTAACAGTGGTTTTAGTCCCAGGGCTAACATTCTTCTTTTCACGCCAATCCCAGTATTGTAAGCAAAATATGTCATGATCTTGTTAAGCAGATTTTCTTTAAATTAGCATGAGAAATAATAATTTTCAATGGCAGAATTCTAAAATGCTATCTGAACATAAAATTAGTAAACAAATGCAAAACATCAGCTTAAGAACCTTTAAACTTGAGGGCTATCTATTATGGATGCCTACTGCTTGTAAAGAGAATTATCCCATCTCCTTTCTGAGGTGAAGTAGATTCAGTCTTCTAATACATATATGTTGAAAGGAAAAAATGACCAGTGAAAGATTGAAGAGGCCCATCTTCTTTCATCTCCCTTACCTGTATATACCAAATGTTTGTGATGACCTATAAACAATTGCTGAGGAGTATAAATGGGATGTGCTGTTGCATTTGTTGACATCTGGCTCACAGGTTGGAAAAAAACTTCCAATTCTAAATATATTTCTTGATAGATCAGAAAATTGGGGACCTGATTTCACTGTTCTTTATCTGCATTGAAAATTCCCTAAAGGGCTCCATTGCTACCAAGTTATATATAAAAGGTGGGATTAATAATGTATGCTATACATAAAAAGAGATAAAGTAGATTGGCTGAGTAGTTTGCTTATTGTTATGTGAAAGATATCTCTATTGGACAATCTGGGACTGAAAAGATCTTAGTGTAAGAGCAAGCTGATCTTAATGGTGGGCAAATCTAAAACTAATAAATTTCTAGCTTTCCAGCATCTGCCAATGGCTTCTTACTATATGGCAATGGAAAAGTATAGTACACATGGCAGGAGGAACCATAAGCCAAGACATTCACAATCTCCATTGGGAACAGCTCAGTATATAATGATGAAGGAAAAAGAAACTAAGGTCTATGAACATAGGGTTGAAGAAACTGAATACTGTATTTAATATTGAGAAGACAAAGGGGGATGTGATAGCATTCTTCATTTTAAAAGCAAGATCTGTTTTATATTTGTTCAGATAGCAGGGTATGGGAAAAGTTTTAAGTTACAGAAGGGAAGAGTTCAACTGAATGCTGAAACATCCCTAACAATAAGATCAGTTTGACAATGCAAACAATTCCAGGGAGGTGGTGGGATTCCCTTTGTTGGATCTTTTCAGATAGATGCTGAGAGGACATCTATCGTGGATACTTTAATTTAGATTTTGTACATAATAGGGTGCTGGGCTCAATAGTTTCCATCTATGTAATACAATCATACAGAAGTTGTTTTAAAGGGATAAAATTACTTGAAAAGGGAGAATGGGGGAGAAAGTATGTATATATGCTTATTCATTAGACTTAAAGGGTGCATCCATTGCAAATGACTCTGAGCAAGATATATCCCAATCTTCATAGGTTATGTTAAAAATACAAACAAAAACAAAGCATAGTGATATAGATTCTTATTAAGTATTATGGATGATTGAACACCGTTAAAGGGTAATCCTTTAACTCAAAATCTAAAACTTAACATGAAATTATTTCAAACTATATCATTGAATTGACTTACAAAAATGAGAAATCCTTTTAATGCTATCATTTTCCAGTGATGACTGAAAATTCTGAAATGTGCTTACTGGAAAGATACATCCATACATTTTTGTGCAACAAAAAATCTTTTATTGATCTAAAAACTAATATCTTAAGATTAGAACTTCTTATATTATAAGGGCAGTATCAAAAACATACTTAATACATTGGTGTTATGTCGCAAATTATGGAGATATATTCAGATTAACGTATTTTAAAATTCAGGTTCTTACTACTAAGTGATTTATTTTCATAATAGGGCCTGTTCTTCATTTGGATTGCCAGTAAAATAGCTTCTGTGCAGGTGTAGGAAACAAAAGTACAGTTACTTAGCTATACAAAGCAGAGCTGCTTTGATGTGATATATAAGGTCTATTTTTATTTATTTGAAGTATTTAGAACCCAAAGCTATCCAGTTTTGTAGAATGTAATGTTCTTTTTTTGGGGGGGGGTTTGTTCTGTGATGGAATGGCACCTACAAAAGCAGTGGAGATTAATTTTGGCAGTACAGAACTTTCTGTAGGAGGAGGCAGTAAATTTCATCAGAGAGAAGCCCAAATTAAGAGATTCTGCAGTCGTGAGCTGGAGGGGGGAGGGACAAAGAGGTTTAGGATAATCACATCCTAGAACAGTGGTGGCGAACCTATGGCATGCATGCCAGTGGCGGCACTCAGAGCTCTCTCTGTGGGCACGCACACTGTCGCCCGAGCCCACCCTCCTCATCAGCAGCCCCCCCAAAGGACAGTTGCCCCCAGGCACAGCCCATGCGGAGCAGCATAGCCAAGGACATGGCAGCTGGGCAGCAAGGACAAGACTCCGCCCTCACGCCCCATCACATGGAGATGGTGCTGCGGGGTGCAGGCAGAGGGCGTGGCTGCCATGGCGCTGCAGGGCCGCCTGGGCATCTGTTGCAGCGGGTTGTGGAGGCGGGTGGCCCTGCGGGCAGGCAGGGCAGGGGCGGAGCAGGGAGCAGAGTGGTGGTGGTGGGTGAGGGGCAGGGTGGATTTTGGGCACTCAGTCTCTAAAAGGTTCACCGTCACTATCCTAGAATCTCGAGTAGGTTAGAAGGTTATAGTTTCAATATGGCAAGTTTCTACAGTCCATTAGATGCAAGCAAATAAAGGATTGGATTTACTGTGTCATTCTTGGGCTTGGGTCTGATAGCTGCTGCTGTTTGGAAAAAAAAAAGATTTCCAGTTTGGATTTAAATCTGGCTCTCTCACAATACAGTATGCAGGCAGCATAAATGGTGACTGGTATCTCAAGAGATGCTACTACATTCTGTGTTAAAATAGCTACACCTGGTATTAGGTATTTTCTAGGCCAGACATGTCAAACACAAGGCCCGGGGGCCAGATGTAGCCCGCAAAGTGGTTTCATGTGGCCTGCGAAGCCATCCTGGAAACAGTGAGGGAATGGCCCCCACTGCCTTGGCCCTGGCCCTAGCCGGCCAGGAGCCAATGTACAGTTTTGTGATGGCCATCTGTGCTGAAACGCATTCAGTCTTAGCTCCACAAGGCCGTCTAGAAACAGTGAGGAACCAGCCCCTGCTGTGTCGGCCCCGCCCCCTGGGTGCATGCTGGGGAGGTGTCACCCTTTGTGAGGAATGAAGAAATGGACCATGCCTTGGCGCTTGCTGTAGTCCCTCCCCATTCTGCCAGAGACCCTCAGATCTGTCCCACTCCTGCCCAGGCCCCCCTTGACGCGAACAATGTAGAGCTGGCCATGCCCACCCAGTAGGCCACACCCACTCCATCCATGCCCATCCAGTAGGCCTCACCTACCTTGGCCACACCCATCTGGCCCCCGGAGGGCAACTGCAATACCGATGCGGCCCTCAATGAAATTGAATTTGACACCCCTGTTCTAGGCCTAATTCAAGATGTTTACTATATGTGTAGGAAACCTTTCATGTCTTGCAAATGGCCTGTGCAATCTGACTCTATCAACTATTGATTACGTGGTTTTTTTCATAGTCTATGGAATCATTTGCCATCAGGGCTCCAGCTGGTTCTCTTGTTACAGTTTAGGAGGGACTTAGATATTTCTGATTGTTTCTGAAATATTTTAGAGATTTAATTGGACTTATAATTTGACAGCAATATTTTGTTGTAAATATAAGATGCCCACTTAGATTTGATTAGCAGATTCTGCACAGACCAGAGGATTGGACTAATTAACCACCTCTATGATTCAATACATATAGGTCCATTAAAAATCCAAATAAAGTTGGCAGCTTCTTAATTATTGTTTCAGACAATAATTTACCTGATACTTTAAAATCCCGTCACTGATAAAAGGCCAACTGAATATGGGGATAATATAAAATTGTAAGGGAAACAATGAAAGTGATGGCCACCAAAGTATGGATTATCGGAGATCCCAAGAATAAACAGATCTGTCCATGTAGCAGCTACAAACGTATTCAGCTAAGTATTAAAATACTATACCATGATCGTAGTCTTTTGAATATTCCAGTATTTCTATGGGATTTAAGGTGCTAAACATGTGGAAGTTCTATTATTTTTGTTACAGATAAGATGCCCCAAGTAATGAGTGGAATGCCAGTGTTCTATTTGGATTAAAATTAAGATCCCCGTGAATCATACAATGATGAATGATGGGTAATTTTGAGAAAGTTGTATCTGAAAGCTGTCACTACCAAAATGATTTTATTTAAACTTTGTACTTTTTGTATTGATTATTTTTAATTATATCTTGATTCTGTTAAAATGGTTTTTAGATTGTTGGCCGTGAACTTGATATTAGCTACCGGAGTTATATATTTAATATGAATAACTGTATACCTTCTCTCTCCCCCCCCTCTCCCCCCTCCCCCCCTCTCTCTATATATAATTTAATTATTTTGATGTCCTCACTTTGCCAAGTACTTTCCTGATCAGGATTATGGAACATGAATTATTCATACTTGAGCAAGGTAGTTTCATATGATGTCAGTTTGCTAAACAAGTTTAGACCTTGTTTGTAAGTCAGTAAAAGTATTGCTACCACTAATCCCAGTGTATAAATCAGTATGCACAACATAAGATAACAATATACTTATTTTGCAAAGGAACAAACAACTAAGGCCTCTGCCTGTAAAAACTAATCTTCTTGCTGGTTATAAGATGCTTTTGGTGTACTGGAGAAGAATAAAAATCTATAGAAAAAAGGAAATGGTACAGACTGGCAAAACTGGAATATGAACATTCCACATTGCAGCATAAAGATTCCATTTGTTCATTATTAATACGTATTAATGTAACCCAATATACACCAAGCTATACATTTTCTGATTATTTTCTGCTTTTTACTTCTCTAATTTTCAAATTATTTTTAGGTGTATGGCCTGGCAAAGATAGATAATGAACCTCATATCAGGAATTTTACGCATATAGGAGATCCAATCTTATATTTATGGTGTAATGAATATACCATTGCACCAAAACTCTGTAATTCCAGCCCAAGATGTTACTTTTTCCAGAGTTTCTAAGAAGAAAGACAAGAGGAAAGAACAGGTATGGTCATTCCTTTCCCCAATTAGGAGTCTCAGCTTTATCTGAAGAGAATTGGAGAAGCGTAACTTTTCAATCAAAATGTTTCCATATAGAACTGCCTGTATTTTTCCTCTAAGAGTTTTGACTTTTTAAATAAATACTTTCTATATTCTTCAAGAAGCCTATTGCAAGAGGAAGTTCAGAAAACATTTAAGTTATTACTGGAAAAAAACCTTGAAACCTCTCAGCAAATAGTTGATCAGTAATAACAGTATATTTATTGCCAGGAATTATATATTTTTTTGTCCTCTTAAGAATCTCATGGGGAGTGATAGTGAAATCACAGAAGGTGAAGACTGAGATTTTCAGCCTATTTTTGTGTGCAAGAGGTCTTTTGGGAATAGTGGGATAGAAAAATAGATATATTAAATTTTTAGCACTTACAAAAAGAGATCTGTAGACTACAAAAACAGTATATCATGATGAATAATCTTCCATGTGATTTTATTAATTGCTAACAGAAAACAAGAAATATTCATTTAGCAGTTGCCTTATCTCTTATTGTTTAATCTATAGATAGCCAGTTTTTTACATGAGTATCAAAGTGATGTGTGCTGAAGCATCAAGAACTAGAGAAATAGAGACTGTGCAGTCTAATCTGGATTAGGTTGCACATGGGTTCTTCTCATTTTTCTCTATGACTCAGGAAGCTTTTATAAGTATTAACTTGCTACCTCATAGAATATTCTTGAAAAATATCCATTTTTACATATTTATATCACATATATAAATATTTATCTTCTGTCCGCATAGACCTCCTTATTTTTGACTGGTTCTGCTCCTGCGCTGGTTCTACATGTAGTCCTCGAGTTATGAGTGTAATGGAGCCTGCCCATTCCACATGTAACTAGAAAACTTGTAGAGTGAATCTCGTTTGATGTATGAGATCACTCCCTTGCTCATTAAAACGCACGCGGCTTGTTAAGTGAACATGCGGTATCGGTGGGGAAGGCCATGGAGGGCCTAGTGCTGGAACAGACCTCCAAGGCCTCCCCGACCCACTAAAATACTGCATGCTTCCCCCTCTCTTCCTGCTGCTCCAGACTCACCTGGAAAAGATCCATATCCTTTCTGCTGTGGTTCCTGCTGCTCCCCGGATTTGAGGCCGGGGAACATTTCTGCGCAGCCCTCCGATCCAGGCTTCGGAAGCCTTTTCCAGGTCGCTGCCACCTGGATTTGAGGCCGAGGAACGCTTCCGGAGCCCGTATTGGGCCACGCGGGATGCGTGGAAGCCTCCCCCGGCCTTAGATCCGAGCCACAGCAGCCTGGAAAAGGCCTCTGGAGCCCCGATCCAGCTTCCAGAGGCACATGGAAGCATCCCCCAGATTCAGTTCTGTTCTCTGTTGCAGAGAACAGAGGCCTAAAGTACCGTGAGATCATGCAAGATCAGTAGCGTGGGATCTCGCCGCACTGATCTTGCGTGATCTTAAGAAAGTGAAGGATCTCGATCTTTGCAGGGTGAGTATTTAAGGCTTGGTCCCTAGGGAGACCCGGGGTGGGGGATGGGGAGGGAGGGAATAACCAGGGTGAATGTTGCAGAGCCACTGTGGTCGCTCGTAAGGGCGAACGACTGCCATGGTACTACTTGCTCATAAGCACTATGGGGTGCTCATCACGTAACTTTGAATGAGTGTTAAGTGAATGCTCTTAACTCGGGGATTACCTGTACTGTGCTCTTGTCACCAACTATGTTGCTTCATTGGATTGAGGTCTATTTAGAATCCACATGTCCAGAAATCCAGTGTTGGAGTTTTCATAACTCTGCTAGGTCTTGCCTCCCATTCTAAACAGCAGTTATTTATAAGGAGTGGCAGTTCTTATTTCCAGACTTAGCTCATTCAGACGTAAAGCAATCACTTTTGCCTCAGTGGTAATTAAGTAAATAGTAATTTAATAGAAAAATAATATAGAATGTGTAAAAATTCATAGCATGAAATTTTTGAGTCAGCAAGACAGCAGTTTTTGAATATTGCGTATTAACCATTCATGTATTTCCATCTACATTGATTGGGAGGGGGTGGTATTATATGTAGGTATAAGCAGTGATAATTAGCTGCTGACAATTTCCTTTCAGAAACAGGAATATGGCGGACTGATTCATTTTAGTCTGGTTGCAATTTGTGTTGTGCTATGTACCATTCTAGTGATGCTCTGCCACTACTGTGGTAAGGTCACCTGAGTTCCTTACTTGCATCTTCAAGAACATGTGACAAGCAACAGCCTATAGGAACAATAGAAAGAAAAGTTGCAGATAGTCAGGGGCATTTAATTTGAATGAGTGTTCTAAGAGCTAATAGTTTTTAAAAACTCAAGTACTAAAAATTAAAAAATACAATTAAAGTATTATTTCATATAATTCTTAAATAGGATGAGAGTTCAATTGAGTCCAAAGGAACTAATCTGCAGGCCAATTGGTTTAAGTGATTAAAAGTAGTTCCTATATCAAAGACATGTTTTGTGCATAATTATTATTTGGAAGCTTAAGGAGATTAGCCACATCAGGAGAGGGGCCATTTCAGGACTTAAAAACTGCCTAGGAAAAACCCACCAACTGTAATAGATCATTGGCAGAATTCTGTTCAAAATAAACATCCCCAGTTTAAATGTTTTTGAGCAATGGCTTGTTTTTTATTGAAATTGGGAGGGCTAACTACAGATTCCCTGATAAAACCATTTTTTTGTTATTGTTTTTGTAGCATTCTAATTCAACCTCTTTTCCTGCTCTTTGTGGCTTTTCTCAGGCATCTGCTATACCAACCAATCAGGACATTTGCAGGTGAAATATTAACTGTGTCATTGCACTAAAACTGATGATGGTCAGGGTGTCAGAAGTTATGTTATCTTACAGCTGATGATCCAGGAAATCTTGCAGGGTGAATAACAGTTGGTCTTCCAATAAGTAGTCATTTTTCCTATGTTTTCAAATTGCCGTATTGAAATGTATTAGAAATCATAATATTAGATTTTTGTACAATACCTAGTTTTTTCCATAATAATAGCTCTGTAAGATGAGCTGAGAGAGAATGCCTGGCCAAAGATCAGGGAACTTCCACAGTGGACTAGAATGTGGATCCCCACCATTAGTCCAGCACTTGAACCACTGCACCACAAAACATTTTGGATTCTAAATAGCTGTTCCAACTATAGCAGAAGTGTTTTGAGCTCAAATGAAAAGGAATATCATCAGAACGTTTCTCACAAAAATTAGAACATCTCATTTGGAGTTTGAAACATAATGTTTCAAATGTACTTAAGTTGCACATCAACAAATATAGACTTCTTTGATCAGGGAATACTTGATATTACAAGAAATAAAAGTAAACCAAATGACTACACGTACATTACTTTAATGATATTGTGCCAATTCCCAATATGGAGGTGAAATGGGGCATGGGTGTGGGGAGCATATTCTATGGTGGTGAGAACTGGTTCTCATAAGCTATCTTTTTTTTTCAAGAGCCCGTAGTAGCTACAAAAGAGCACATAGATCAACAAACCCTGTTTAGCTATGCTATATGCACATGCACATGTTTAAATGATATTGACATGTAATGCATTATGGCACATGGATTTTTTTATGTTTGTTATTTGCCTTCCTCATACTGGCTGAAAATGTCATTTCTTCAACAAATTGTATGTACTCTTTTTAATTTTTTGTGCTTTTATTCCATTGTTCTGCATGCAGTTCCAGTGCAGTGTGTTCTGAATGTTGTCATCCCAGTCCAGTGCAATCTGCTGTTATCTTGAAAAATCTTGTCTGCCAGAATGCTCTGACTCCAGGGGCCACTGTGACAGTAACCTGTCAGAATACGGTGCAGATTTCCAAGGCCAACTCCCATGGGCATGAACTTGTCTATGCTCTCAGGTCTAAGAATGAAAAATCCAGCCATGCTCTGAAATTCTCCAAGTCTCTCAGTGATATGGATCAGAAGGCTCAGAGTACAATTGACAGATTTAGCTACGCGGAACGAACATGTTCAGAAGGCAGACTTACCCAAATGCAAGAGCAGTGTTTAAGACTTAACGTATGTCCTAAGGAGAAGAAATCATTCAGCTTCAGGCCCTTCACTGTTAGCAATTCCAGACTTTCATATTTCTGGTCACTCTCGACTAATTACTCAAGCACTTCTCTGGCCACTGATACTCATAGTGCTGTACGTATTCCTCTCCTGGAGGATAAGTATGGCAATGAAATCTCCCAGAGTAAAGATTTGTTGCAGTACCTTTTCTCCTTCTCTCACAGTTCCAGGTCAAGCAGTCATGAACTGGATAACAAGTCAACCTGTCTCCGGCCAGAGAAATCATCCAGTGGTATGGCAGAGAGCACAGGTTTTTGTTCAGATGACATGGGAGATGATGATGTCTTTGAGGACAATTCTGTGAGGCTGAAAATTACAGCACTGCGGGCACCACTCTGCTCAGCTGAAAAGGATAGTGATCTAGACTGCCCTTCCCAATTGTCAGAAAATTTCCCTCCACTTTCCCCTGTGTCTATATCTGGAGATGTCTGCAGGTTGGTTTATCCCAAATCATTTTCTCTGACCCCTCTCAGTCTATGGTAACTTGCTCTGCTCTCTTCATTTTCTCAGTCATTCACTTCAGTTTACACTGAGCTTTATTTTCTTCTGAACTTGTCGACTTTTTTTGAATATACAGATATTTTCCTGTCATGCTAATCATGTGTTTCCTAAATATTTTCAATTTACTTTATGTATAGGAAATAAGGGTATTAAGAGTGAGGAAGGGAGTTGTGTTTTCTTTCTTCCTGCAAGCTTTTTAAACACTACTTATCTCTGAGAAATATGTAGTGCTTCACATTTTGGAACAACTGGGTTGCTTGCCCCTGAAACAGAACTCAACTTCCCTGGTTCCAAGCACCCTTCAGTGCCTAATTTTCTTTTCATCTTTATGCATATCTCTTTCTTTTCCAAAACTAGCCTCTCCTGTTTCAGGTTAATCCTCAACCAGGACAGGTACCCTGCTTGTCTGCAGATGCCATCATCTCCCAGAATTCTGAGGTTCTAGAGAAAGAGAGTGGTACTGATATAAAAGTTTCCACAGAAAAGGACTTCCCTTGTACCCACAATCTTCTTTCAGAGGCCACCCATGCATCTCACTGAATTTTCCAAAATGTTGCTAGTGTAATTCAGGACATTTGATATAATAGCAAGAAGTGCTATCCCACAATCCTGAATATCCATTTAACTTTTTCTGAAATTTCTGGTCCTGGGGATTTGTGGTTTAGTATGGAATCATGGCTACACTAAACCTGTGCCAGAGATTTGTGCGAAAAGTCATAAGCAAGCTGAGATCGTTGCTTGCTTGTTACTTTTGTGGCAGGAAGTTTATAAATGGCTATCCTAGAGATTCCAAGGAAAACATTTTAAACACATTTCCCTTCCATCAACATTTTAAAATGTGAAAATTCAATTTTCAGGTTATTGTAGATTATAATGATTTAAAATAACCAATTATTTTAGTTATTTTAGACTCTGCTCACATGATCTCAGATCATTTATTCTTCTTTGATATTGTGCCTTTCTTCAACAAGACATTTTTCTGGTTTGGACCATAGTTGTCCTTTTCCTCCCCTAATAAATTGCTATGTTCTTGTCATAGGATATGCCATTGTGAAGGAGATGATGAGAGCCCATTAATTACTCCCTGTCATTGCACAGGAAGCCTTAATTTTGTCCATCAAGCTTGTCTGCAGCAGTGGATCAAGAGCTCAGACGCCCGTTGCTGTGAACTCTGCAAATATGAATTCATCATGGAGACGAAATTGAAACCTTTAAGAAAAGTAGGTCCTGGAATGATACTATAGAGTCAAACATAATTATGAATGTCCTCTTTAGCACAGATTACTGCTATTTATACATTTAAACTTTAGATTACAATAGAAGTAGGCGCTGTTGTGAATCTTCACATTAAAAAAAAATAAACCAGTGTATTGTGAAGCAAAGTAGAACATATTTGGAGTCCCAAGGATATTCTTTTAAAAAACATAAATAAGAGATAATAATTATCTCTGTTCATTGGAAAGATGACCATCTGCCCAGAAGAAAGAAGCAAGTTGGGATGGCAGCAACTGTGGGGAAAATAAACAGTTTTGAGAGCAATTATATCTATTGCCTCCAATAAATATGGTAGCTATTTTATGATTGACCACATCACTGATGCAGCAATTGGTAAATTGAAAAGAGCTATTTAGGCATCAGGTCCAGCCTAGTGTAGATAATTTGTGAGAGATAATTTTCTAGCCCTTGCTTAAACAGAGCACCCACTATTTTTTATAGTAGTTGCTAACAGTTGTTAGACTGTTACTATAGCTAAGATATTTTTTTCAGGGTCAGAGTCTTCTACTTGCAATGAAAATCTTTTATTTCATGTCCTGAGGCAGGAATGAAAAAAGATAATTTCTAAATTGTTTCTGCATGTCATTTCTCTTCATATGAATGAAGTTAGTTTTCCCAATTTCTTTTTCCAAGGCTAATGTTTTCAGTTTAACATTTCATCATAGGATTTTGATTCCCCCTGATATTTTCATTAGCTTTGAGTTGTTCCAGTTTACATGAATCCTTTTTAAAGTAGAGTGCCCAGAATTTGGTATAATACTTGCATTGCCAACTGACCAGTATAGAATAGTATGGACTTATTTCCTATCATCTGAAAATCATACTTCTGTTTATAATAGCATAACTTTGTATTTATCTTGTTATTAAGTTTATACCATGGCCTTCCATTTAAAGACATGAAGGTGGCTACATTTTACTGGTGACTTACACTCAGTTCAGCACTATTATCAAATAAAATAGTCTCCACAAATTCCTTTTTCTTTCCTGTGCATAATTTTTGAATTTGTTTTTGTTAAATCATTTTGTTTCTAATTTCTCTAGTGCTCAAGATTGTTTTGAATTTTATCTTCAAGAATATAAGCTAGTTTACCTACCAAATGTTATGTCTTCTGCAACTTTTATAAGCGTCTTTCCAAGTTAATAAGTATTGAAGAGTATAAAGCCCAAGAATTTTATGGCATCATATTCAATTTTCCCTCTAATTTTATGAAGGAACAATTTGATAAGTAATTTTATCACAGTGAATATTAACTGTAGTTAGTAGATAGCTGCTTTTCATGATAGCGTTAAGCAATTCTGTATTAATAAATGTATGCAAATTAACTGAATTCTGCATTGCTATATTATATTAAGTTACGGTATTTATTTCTAATTTGCATTTCTAAAGTTGGCACAAATCATTGGTGACTTTGGGTAATAAACTAAATTGAAAACAAAGCTTTAAAACAAGCACCAAAAGAAAAGAAAGGGGATCATCCCAATAGAACAAAACATCAAATATAACAACCTTGCATAGGGAACTGCCATCCCATCTTAGCCTACAATCTGAGGAAAGAGATAGCTCTTCAAAGCACATTTAAAAGACAGCAGGATCAGCGTGTTTTAAATCTGCAGAGAGATTAAGAGGGCACAAGTGCCCTCAGATGCCATTGGTTGATAAAGAGTTTAATATACTGTAATACAGAACAGTGTTTCATATCCATATATAAGCTGCATTAGCTTGCTTGATCATCTGCCATCAGGATCAAATTCAATAAAATAAAGGTTTCTGACTAGACAGCAAGTATCACTTGTTCTCTGAGAATAGAATTGAATACTTCTGTTTTCTGGATTTCTTCTTAGTGGGAGAAGCTGCAGATGACAGGCAGTGAGCAAAGAAAGATCATGTGCTCTGTAACTTTCCATATCATTGCTATCACTTGTGTGGTGTGGTCACTGTATGTCCTCATAGACCGGACTGCTGAAGAAATTAAACATGGGGAACCCACGGGTATGTTATTTTATTTTCTTTCTAACAAAAGGGGATGCTTGAGCCATGATAAATTGCCCAAAATCAGGGAAACATTTTTATATGTTATACTTTCTTTTATCACTGACTATACTCATATTTGGAACAGATTAAGGAGTAGCAGATCAGAAAAGAAATGTTCACAAATACTTTCAGTTCTATTGACAAAAAATATTAGTTACAAGCCATTTTGTCACATAAAACAAAGTTATGCATTTGGGGAGTCCTCTAAGTCTGGAGTTTGCTAGATTAAGGAAGGATGTAGTATGGTACTGTATATTCTCTTCCTCAGTGAGGAAGGCTAATTCTTCCTCTCACCATCCAGACTGATCCTTTTTCTTCCCACTCAACTAGTAATTGGAAAGGAGAGCAAAAGTTAAAGCTATAATACACGTGCCCCCCAAATAGTAAAAAGATCCCACTCCTCTTGCTCTCTGCATGGTCTTTTTCTGATTCAGCTTAGCTAACTAAGAAAGCCTTCCCATGTGGCAATTACAGGCCAAATTATTATTTCTCAGAACTTGTATATGCTTACTGCAAAAAGAATAAAACAGTTGAGTCTGCTTTTCTGATTATATATGCAAAATCTGTGCCAAAATATAAGGGGATGGTAAGGGAAATGTTTTTTGCAGCTTCTATTATTGATGTAAAACATACATGCCTGGATAAAATTTAATTGAAGATGTCCAACTTAATCTAGTCTGTGGACCACATTGCCTACTTAAAAGATTGGCACTTGGATTTAGACTCACTGTTTGATCACAGTAGTTCAAAGTCAGAAACAAAGCATAAAATTATCTGCATTTTGTATATTCAACATTTTATATGATATGAACTTTGAGATTGTTATAAATCATATAAAAAGTCTGAAAATGTCATACATACCCATTCTTTTTTCCAATTAACTATTATAAGGAGTAATAAGCAAAAATAAAAGGAAGGGAAAAGATAAAAAGGAAAGAAAGGAAAATAAGGGTCGTTGGCAGTGATCTCTTGAGAGATTTTAGCTGTTACCATGTACTCTGCTCTGCAGATAACTGAATATGGGTGACTATTCTTGATATCTGTCTCCAGGGAAAAATAGAGTGATATATTCACCAGAGTAATAGCTTTACCTTAACTTCCTGATCTCATTGTAAAGATGCTGATAGATTTTGTGATGTGGTGGACTTCAGTCTCCAAGCCTAGGGGTAATAATTTGAAATGGTTCCAGAATTCATAGTTTCAAAGATAACCAGAACTTTACACAATAGTATTGGATTCAACCCATATGGAGGGGAGGACACAGTGGGTCTAATTGGAGCAGATGTCATGTGATTTGAAAGGGGAACATCTTATTGGTCATAGATACTTTCCGATCAGCCTTCAGTTAGTTGTTATCTCTTATATGATAAGATTGTGCACCTGAGGTATTGATTGGATCTGCTTAGTTTTCAATAGTTGTGGGCTTTTTCCCAGATAGATCATCTACGCATGCCTATATGTATGAGTAATAGTTATATTACTCATTGATCTCTGAAATATGCAACTTTTAAGTGCAATAGGTGAGACTGCCCCTAAGACAAGAGGTTCCCCAACCCCCAGTCCGCAGATCCTTACTGGGCTGCGGGCATTTAGGAACTGGGCCGAGCAGCTGGAGGCGCGCTGAAAGTGCGTCTTCCATCTCCAGGAATACGGCAAGTCTGCAGGGGTCTGGGCAGGGGCGGGAGAGTGGCAGGGCAGAAGCCATCTTGCTCAGTGCAAAGTCCTCTGACGGCCACACTTGCAACTGGTTTCCTTCTCTCCCTTCTCCTGCTTCTTCTGCTATCTCTCCTGCCTCCTCTTCTTCCTGGTCCTGCTCCCTCTTCCTCCTGCTGCTGCTTCTTCCTCCTCCTCTATCCCTCCCGGCACCCCAGCTGGGCTCGTGCTCCCTTCATGCAACTCTCCAAGTTTGTAAGACAAATGTGTGCCAACCCAGCTTGCAACCAGGGGCTCCCCCAAAGGTATATGTGTGTGAGGGCGTCTTTCTCAGGGTGCAAATAAGGGCAGGGAGAAGCTATCTTTCACCTTAAGCACTGTGTCTCCAAGGGATTCCCTCTCTCTCTCTCTCTCTCTCTCTCTCTCTCTCTCTCTCTCTCTCTCTCTCTCTCTCTCTCTCTCTCTCTCTCGTCTGGAATTTTCTAAGACCGCTGGGCTCTATTGCACTTCAACTGGAGTTTTTTGGTTTTATTTTGATGCTCCAGGTGCCTCGTGTTTTGGCAACATCCTGCCTGCCTTTTGAGGTTTAATTTGGTGTTTGTGTGTGTGTGTGTGTGTTCCTCCTTTCTTTGTGCAGCTCTGGCTTGGAATGGGGGAGGGGAGAAGCTACATTTCGCCTTAAGCACTGTATCTCCTTAAGCACCTCTTCCAAGACTGCTGGGCGCTTGCGCAGTGCGAGTTGGTTCTCATTCTCTCCTTCTCTCCCTCTCCCCTCTTGCTCGGTCTTTGATTTATTTTGCTGGAAGGCTGAGTTTAGGCTGGTCTCATCTCACTTTCTTAGAAGCAGAAAGTCACTGGTCTAATCTAATACAATAATAGAAATAAAGTGCTTTATTTATTTGTTTGTTTGTTTATTTAGAAAATTTACAATAAATGTAATGCACTTGAATCATCCTGAAACTGATGCACTGATTCCATCACTTGTACCTGTTCAAATCTTAACGCAGAGCCAAAGGAAGTAACTGGGGTGACACTTTATGAAATGATCTGAGATGCTTATGAGCTTATTGGCTCTGATGAATAGAATAGAAAATGGAATATAGAGAATAGAATAGTTGGAAGGGACCTGGTAGGTCATCTAGTCCAACCCCCCCCTACCCAAGCAGAAGAACCTACACCATTTCTGATAGATGGTGTTCAGTCTCATCTTCCAGTGATGAAACTCCCACAACATCTAAAGGCAAACTGTTCCATTGATTGATTGTTCTCACTGTCAGAAAATTTCTCCTTATTTCTAGATTGAATCTCTCCTTGATCAGTTTCCTTCCGTTTTTCCTTGTCTGGCCTTCAGGTGCTTTGGAAAATAGGTTGACCCCCTCCTCTATGTGACAGCTCCTCAAATACTGAAATGCTGCTATCATGCCTCCCCTGGTCCTTCTCTTCACTAGACTAACCATGCCCAGTTCTTGTAATCATTCTTCATATGTTTTAGCCTCCAGTCCCCTAATCACTTTTTTTGTTCTTCTCTGCACTTTTTCTAGCATCTCAACATCTTTTTGATAGTGTGGAGACCAAAATTGGTTGCAGTGTGGTCTAGGTGTGGTCTTACTAACGCTTTATAGAGTGGCATTAATACCTTGTGATCTTGATTGAATCTCTCTGTTAATGCAACTTGGGATTGCATTGGCTTTTTTGCCAGATGCCTCACACTGTTGGCTCATATTTAATTTATTGTCCACTAAGACTCCAAGATCCCTCTCACAGTTACTGCTATTAAGCCTGGTTTCACCCAATCTATATCTGTACATTTGCTTTTTCTTGCCTAAGTATAAGACTTTACTTTTCTCTACACTGAATTTCATTTTGTTAGATAGGGCCCAGGGTTCAAGTCTGTCAAGATCCAGATGGATCTTGAGCCTATCATCTAGGGCTGAGGTAGGCAACCTTGGCTCTTTTATGAGTCGTGGACTTCAACTCTCAGAATTCCTGAGCCAGCCATGCTGGCTCAGGAATTCTGGGAGTTGAAGTCCACAAGTCATAAAAGAGCCAAGGTTGCCTAACCCTGATCTAGGGTGTTGGCTATTCCTGCCAGCTTAGTACAAGTAGTTCTCGAGTTACAAGTGTAATGGAGCCTGCCATTCCACTCGTAACTTAAAAGTCGTAGAGTGAATCTCGTACCTTGAACGAGATCACTCTCTTGCTCGTTAAGATGTATGCAGCTCATTAAGTGAACATGAGGTATCTCTGGGTGGGGAAGGCCATGGAGGGCCTAGTGATTGAACAGGCCCCCAAGACCTCCCCAACCAACTAAGATACCTCATGCTTCCCTCTCCCTTCCTGTCACACTGGACTCACCTGGAAAAGATCCATCTTCTCTCTGCCGCAGTTCCTGCTGCCGCCTGGATCTGAGGCCAGGGGACACTTCCATGGCATTCCCATGGCCTGATCTGGGCTCCGGAGGCCTTTTCCAGGCCACTGCTGACCAGATCTGAGGCCAGGGGACACTTCTGTGCCCCTACTGCAGCCCAATCCGGGCTCTGGAGGTCTTTTCCAGGCTGCCGCCATCCAGATATAGGCATCCGGAGGGCTGCAGAAGCGTCCCCCCGTTCTCAGATCTGGGTAGCAGCAGCCTAGAAAAGGCCTCCAGAGCCCTGATCTGGCCTCTGGAGGCACGTGGAAGCATCCCCTGGCTTCAGTTCCATTCTCTGTTGCAGAGAACAGAGGCCTAAAGTACTGTGAGATCACGCGAGATCAGTAGCATGAGATCTCATCCCACTGATCTCGTGTGATCTTGTGTTACGTTAGGCCTCTATTCTCTGTGAACGCACCGAAGGCCTGGAGCAGCCAAGAAAGTGAAGGATCTTGATCTTCACAGCGTGAATATTGAAGGCCTGCTGCCTAGGGAGACCCAGGTGGGGGTGGGGAGAGAGGGAAAAACCGGGGTGAATTGCAGTGCCACTGTGGTTGCTTTTAAGGGTGAACGACTGCCGTGGTGCTATAATATTTGTAACTTCGGGACTTTCTCATAAGCACTAGAGGGCGCTCATCACATATCTTTGAATGAGCATTAGGTGAACGCTCATAACTCGGGGATTACCTATATCATCTGCAAATTTGATAAGTTCCTCTTCTATTCCCTCATCTAAGTTGTTTATGAAGATATTGAAGAGTCCTGGGTCTAAAACAGAACCTTGTGGTACCCCACTGCTTACTTCCCTCTATGTAGCTGTAGTATCATTAAGGACTACTCGTTGAGTACAGTTTGTCAGCCAGTTAGAAATCCATCTGATAGTGATGCTACCTAT